CAATTGTGTTTTAGTTCGAGTAAGATGTGTGATTACTTCAAGGTTATTCACTACATCTACTCGAGATGCATGGTAAATAAGGGTTGAGGCTTTACTCACTTGAATCAAGAAGATTGCATATTGTTGGCTAGAATAGTGAGTGGAGAGAAAATCAATAGTAGAGCATTGATTTATAATGAAATAAATGAAAAATTTTGCCTCAGGAAATCAATATCAACTCCTATGCCATATCCCCATCTCATCTCCTACTTTCTTAGCATTCTTGACATCCAACATCTTGAGCCTAGAGACAAGGAAGAACAAATTCCCATGTTTGTTACAGCGCATCTAAACAAGATACACGTCTGTCTCCCTCTCACTACTGCATAAAGAACATTACCAAGAGAAAAAGAGAAAAGAAAGCAACCTCTTACAATTGACTCTCAGCCACAAGATGAGGCACAATCTTCAGCTGGGCTAGTGTAATCCACAACTCCATCCTTCCTCGGTTGCAACAATTCAGAATATGTTCCAGTCAGAATTACAAGCATTTCAGGCAAGATTGTATGGCATGGCCAAGGAGTTTGGGGAACTAATAGGTCAAAAGCTGGGAAGCATCAACGACATCCTTACTCTCCATAAACAAGCTATGGTTGTTTTGGAGAAGAACATCCATGAAAGGTTTGATGCATTGGAGAGGCAGATGTTAGACCTCAGAACACTAGTGACTACGTACCCGTCTGCTCTAGGACCTTCTTTTACTTTTGATGAGCTCCTCTCTCACCCATCTTCAAAGCTACCTACTACAGAGCCCGCTGCTCCTGCCTTTGAACCCTCAAAACCCCCTACTTCTACTCTTATCCCTATACAACTAAGGGGAGAAGAGGAGCAGCACCAAAGTAGCCTTGATGACATTAATTGATTATTGAGTTTCTTTTTCAATTTATACATTGTGAACATTTGCTGTTTTTATGTTTTCTGTGTTTATGCTTACAAAACTCTTGAATCAAGTTGCTATCAAGTTATAATTCTCAATTTTTAAAAAAAAATTTGCAAAGTTCTATTTTAGTATTGTATTCTTTTGTTTGGTTTAATTTCATCAAAAATGAAAAGAATATTAGAATTCATGTATGACGACAAAGGTATTTTCAGATTTTGAAATCCTAGCAAAATCAAAACCAAGGTCTTTATCGAAATAGTTCTTAAGAACCACCTTTCTCTGTAGGCCTCTCGGGAAGAACTGTCAAGACTCTCCCCAAGCCTTGATGTTTTATGGTAGGAGTTTCATGACCTCTTGGTGGCTATTTAAGGCCAATCACTAAGACCTTCGGCCAACATCTCCCCCACACCATCACTACCATCTTTCCTCCACTATACTTCCTCCTCATGATCCTTAGGATTGAGTTTTTCTTTCTTTTGAGTTCCAGCAATTCTCCCTCCTCCCTTTCTAACATTCCTCTACACAGCCTTAACACTTCTCCTTAACCTTTTTATGAGGGAAAGGCATAGCTTCCACACAATCATCTTTTTCTTATTTGTTATGGCTCCATATACGAAAGTGATATAATCTAGAGTTCTATGAGTTGCAGAACACATGCTTGCATGAATTAAATTGCCAGAACCATGCCAGATATTAACAACTACTTCTCTAGTCCGCCATAGTGCCAAACCAACTCCTCTTCCTCTGGGCTTGACATAGAATTCATCTTTCATGCCACACATCCTGGTTTCCGTCAGGAAGACTACCGAGGATTTATTCTTGTTACATTCTTCCATACCAATTGATAATTTTCCAGGTTGTACCAATAGGAAATCTATGGCAAAACACTAGCCCTCACATTTTCTCGTCTAGTTTTACCTAATTTGATCAAAATTTCATGTCAAAAAAATTTGATAAATGGGAAATAACAAATTTTGATTCTTAGCTCACCTTTCTCCTACGCTTAGGAGCCCCTACTATAGGTGGCACATCAAAATCATTGTATCATGGATTTGTGTTTCCTATTCTTTTTAAAACTTTTGTCTTTAAAGTTCTTGTCAAATTTTTATCACCCCTATCATTCTTATCATTGCTATCACCATCCTGACCATCACCATCATTACCATCAAATGTGGTTGATGTATCAATTGCAACGGTGTTAGGCATTTCCAGTTTGTTGGTAGGTGTAGCAAAGATCTCCAAATGATCAGTTGTGCGGGTGTTATGACCATCACCATCATTGCTATCAAATGTGGTCGATATATCAGCTGGAAGGATGTTAGGCATTTCTGGTAAGTTGGTAGGTAGAGCAAAGAACCCCAAATGATCAGTTGTACGAGCGTTATGCATCTTTGATTGGTTGGCAGGTGTAGCAACAGCCTCTAAACTATAAGTCGTAGAGGTGTTAGGCATCACCAGTTGATTATCTACTAATCTTGCCCACCTCATATTCGAACTTGTTATACACGAAAACAAAACAGAGGGGCTGGCTGATTCGCGCTTAAGTGGGACCACGGTAAGCTTTGACAACCAATCCTCCTCTATAACAAGCTCCCCATCAAAATATTGTTGAGGTGCCATTTGTGGGAGATGGTGCACAGCATATTCTTTGAGCACAACAGTGGTCCACGATCTGCTTAAAGCCCTTTGGTGGGTATAGGGTTTAGGGAGCACCATAACTTGGTATGGCTGCCAAATCACCTAAGAAAAGGGGGAAAAATGATCTTAAATAATTTTTTAGTGCATTTGAAAAGTTCTAGTGGCAAGTTTCAGGGGAGAAGAGTGTAGACGTTACCTCACTAGGATCTAACTCTAAAAAGAGCTTCAATACCTCTTCCATAGTCAGACAACGCTTACCACAAAAAACTGAGAACTTCCTATTTTCACCACCTATTCTAGCATGTAGAAAGAATCATACATCCGAATGTTGCAAGTTATCAAGGCAAACTAGGACCACTTTTGGTATGTGGGTAATAACAATATCCAAAAAAATGGAATAAAGTAAACATTCATATTCAAAATATTTATAAAAACAAATAAATGTCTTTTTTAAAATATAAAAATTAAAAAAGACATTAAGGAGATTACTAATAATCCAAACACAACCAAATAGGTTAGTGTGTTTATCTACTTTGCATGTTTTTAAACTTGAGTGAAGATTCACCCAGTTTGCAGCTCCAAGCATGGGATTTTATTTGCTATACCTCCCTAAGAAGATTGATAAAGTTTTTGTGAACTTTGCATTTCCCCAATTTCTAGAAGATCATGCTTCCTATGTCGAGGAGGGTTGCTGCTCAACTTGCACGATCCACTATCTCCTCGTCACACCATTGATAAAATTGATCAAACCTTGGATGCTAACAAATTACACTCTAAGGAAACCTCAACAAGTCTCACAACATCCACCGTTTATAGAACTGGGACTACCGGCTCAAAAACAACTAGTTTACCATTAATTGCCCTTGTTTTTTTCCCCAAGGCACAGCTATATCCTCTTTTCTCAGCAAAATCAATGAAAACAATCCCAGCTTTGATGTATTTTATTAGTCAAAAAAGACTAATGTGTTTTTATACACAGAAATTATTAATGCTATGCAGGATTTCGTATATGAAAAAATATCAGTGCTCAAATTATGTTTCTAGATGACATCATTTTATACATAAAAAGTAGCAACGATAATTTTAAATTTAGAAAATCTCATTCTTAAAATTATTCTATATTATTTCTTAAATATGGATCTTTTGCTAAACTTTTTATTTAATTCATGATAAAAGGGAAAAAAAATTGGAAAAAAAAAAAGATTATGACAGATGGGGAAAGAGGGAAAGGCCATTAGAAAAAGTAATGCTGCAACTTTCTTTAAAAAAAAGAAGAAGATGCTTAGCTGTACGGAATTCGAAATATGAATGAGAAAAGGACACTTCCTGCCGTACGCCGCAGATCATTCACGTCCCAATTTACTCTTACAAAAAAAAAAGCTTTATATCTTATTTTATTTGTAGCGATTTAAATTCATTGATGTCATGTTAGGCTAGGGCGACCGAAGAGAAATAATGCTATAAAGACTCGTATAAATCTTAGGTTCTCATTTAAAATTAAATTCTGCGATTGAAATGGCATTATCTTCAGTCACCCAGGCCAATGGCCGTTGACGGTATTGACCTTTTTTCTTAAAAAAAAAAAAAAAGTTACGTGAAATATATTTTAACATTATCTCTATCTCCCTATGAACAACGGCGTGGCCCAATTATTTATTTTTTTTTTCAAAAAAAGCGACCCGAACTTTCTGACTTTTATATTGTTTTGGTTACAAAGCCATATTTTCGTCTCCCTTTCTGGTATAATTTTTTCTTTTCTTCCCATATTTATGAGAATTTCCCTATCCCTCCCATCTCGTCCACGTAAACCAAAAATTAAAGCCTATGGCTATAACGCTGAATTAGGATCTGGGTAACACATATCATATGTGTGCGCAAAACTTAATTGTTATGTTGATTAAACAAAAACTTAAAAGGCACGCAACTAAATTCATGTTACAGAAGGATAAATCCCAAAGATGCTATTTTTATGTTTCCCACATGACCACCATCATGTGTTGACTTATAAAGTCATAAAGAGTGCACAACCAACCTGGCCAATGGACACTAGCCATGATTGCCTTTGCCAACCCTATCTTCCCCTAATCATCTGAACCGTCAAATAAAGTGATCATCATATTTTACCTAAATTTCTTATATATTTCACGCCCCCTGTGATTGCGAATTATTACATTGGAATTTTTTTTGGAAAAGTACCAAAAAAAACCAATTACAATATTTAAATTTTTAAAAATAAACTATTGGGTTATTAAACAGTCTTCTTTTTTTTTCATAACAAAATAGCCATGCTTTCCATTACACTAAAACTGAATTACAGAAGCAAATAACTCTGGAATCCTACCAAGAGTCATTATAGTATACAATCCCATAATAATTAATAATCATACAACAAACAAACTTGCCTTAGAAAATAACTCTGTAATCCTACCAAGAGTCATTATAGTATACAATCCCATAATTAATTATTAATAATCATACAACAAACAAACTTGCCTTAGCCATAGACAGAGACATCCTCGTATGCTACCCAATTTGGTCATCATCTCTTTCCCCATTTTTTTTTCCGGAAAAAACTGCAAGATCTCAAAAAGACTAAAATAAACGAAATAATTAGAAAACACAGGAACGAAATAATTCACCTCACTATCTCAGGATCCCTCACGCGCAGCCACGCGGTGAGAACCCGACCCGAGAACTCCCCAAGTCGAACACCACTCGAAACCCTTGCTGCTGGATGTTTCCGATTATAGACAAACCGCCCGCAGTTCCGGCGAAGGCGAAGCAGAAGGTCCCACTGGTATCCACGGGGATCAGGTAATTCGTCGCTGGAAGTGACACGTCAGCACCTCGGAAATGTAGCACCACTGTTGGCACCTTCACCTCCGTCTTCCCTGACAAGTCGTAGCAGGTGTCGAAAAGCGAGAACTCCGGTGCTCGCTTCAGGGTGGACGCTCCCGCTCGGAATGCGTCCCTCAGGGCAATGTAAGCCGGCTGGGCGAGCCGAGTGACCGACGTGCCCGAGTCAAGGATGACGCCTCCGTTCCCAGCTGGATCGAGCCGGAACAACGAAGCCGAGAGTCCGCGGACCGGCGTCCCGCCCACGCTCATCCCGAGGAGTTCCACGTAGTAAAATGTATCGAGTTTGGGGTTTCTGAGAAGAGGAGTGAAACGAGCAGTTCGGGAAACAGCAGATTCACCGAACAAAATAGCAGACGGCCGAGATGAGGCAGACCGATCCACCAAGCAATACGAGAATTTCCGGTTGAACCGACGGCCAGCTTGAGCCGGGAACGATAGCCTCCCTCTTCCGAGGCCTAACAGACCCGCCGCACCGACGAAGAGTCCTTGATTATCGTGGCCACACCCCAGAGCCACTCGCGCCATCCTCGTCCCTCGAAACGTCAGTGTTTCGGTGACGAACTCGCCAACAGTGAACGAACCATCCCCATATGAAACTTGGTACATACAGACCTTCTTCTTCCTGTTACACCCAGAAGAGTCGAGTCGGTGGCAGAGCGGGGACCCACAAGGTACTCCGGCGAAGGATCTCGATTTGGAGGGGTTGAAAACGGGGTCGGTCTGAGTGTAGCATCTCTTACAGGGAGAACATTGGAGCCAAACGATGTCGCTTCCGGTATCCAGCACCATGTACATGTACCTCGGAGGCGTCCCTACACCGATACGCGTGAAGTATTCGCCACTGCCCTGAGCTAGACCCGAGATCACGGAGCTACTAAAACCCGACCCAGGACCACGGGTTCCATTATGGGCACGCGCTCGGGCAGCCATGGAGATGAGAGATTTGGCTCTGAGAGCATCTCGCTGAAGCCTGAGATTGAAGAGCTGATCGGGGGTCTTGTTAAAACTGAGAGCATCTACATGGTGTAGTTGAAGAGACATGGGAAGAGAAGATTCCAGATCCGATTGGAGAGCTTCGGGCTCGGATTCGGGCCATGAGAGGGTGGGCGGATGAGGGAGGGATTTGACGGGAAGAGTTTGGGTGTCGGAGGTAGCCGAAGAGAGGGTGAGGAAGACGAAGGCGAAGGGGAGAAGAAGAAGGGAATTTCTGGGTTCGGGAACCATTGAAGAAGGAAAGAGAGGAGTGTGCATTGATAGTGGGGGTGGCAGGGAGGATATATAATAAAAGAGAGAGAGTGAATGCGAAAGGGAAGAAGTTGGTGAGAAAGTGGGATCTCTGGTGAAATTACCGGTGGGGAAAAGAGCGGTTCATAATTGTGATTTTGGGTATAATTAGACTTGTGAGTTTTCAAATCAGTGATTAGGATTTCTACCCTGCACTGTTTATAACTTCATATCATTTTGTTGGTTGTTTTATAAAATACTTTCTGTAACTGATTTTTCCGTGACTGTATCACATTTGCCTTTTTCTTTAGCCAGTTCATTGCATGAAATATTTGCACAACAAACAGGTTTTACACGCCTAATCACTTTGTTGTTTGTTTCAATGACATTTTATTAATTTGATTTACCAATCTCAATAAGAGTGATACATGAACTGCGATTCTATTAACCTGCGAGTGAGGGAGGAATCTTAATTTTGTTATTTGGTTAGAAGAAATGAATATGAGGGGTTGTGCTTAAAATGTCTCATTCTTTTCAAAAATAACCTCCAATTTGCAAGATGCTGAAAATTGGACCGGCCATTGGATTAACCTATCAAAATGGTCGGGTTAATTAGATTGTTGCTCTTAGATTGGTATGAATCAAATTTTTTGGCTTATATGGGTTGAACGGACTGGTCAGATAACTGATTGTCAGTCTAACCCAAAGAGTCTAGTCTAATTTTCAATGCAATGCCAATTTAAAAAGAGGGGGGAAGAAACTTTTAAAATTCAATATGCACATTCTAATACGAAGCAGAGGCATGCCTACAACATTCAAACCTAGCATGAAAAAAGTATGATACTACACATGAAGATTACACTTCCAAGACAATGACTTAAGGTTGATTTGATTTTTTAGGGATTTTCTTCTTCTTCAGTTTGTCTTCTTACAGTGTTTGGGACCGATCCAAGCACCAATAATTTTGACTCTGGCTCATTGTTTTATATAATACATATATACAATAAATGTCGGAATATGTGGGAGCATAAAGAGTTAAGGTGGCTAGGTAACAAGAACGTGGTAGGAAGTAGTGTGAATGGGATAAACATAGGGGCGTGGATGAAACAGAAGGCCGGATCTAATCTAACAGGAATAATGTGGAAAACGTTGACTCTTTCTTCTTCGTGTTTCTATCAATTATTCTCCTCACATCATCACATGCAATGCTTCATTATCTATCTCATGCTTCCTTCATTCCCTAATATAAATCATTTGTAAATATTTAAAACTTAATTTAGTAAGTTACTTATTATTAAAAATGTATATTATTTTTTTTAAAATATCCTTTTAAATGACTTGTGTTGAAACTACTTATTGATAAAAACTCACTTATCACATGTAATCAATGTGGATATTTCAGTAAAATTGTAAATAAAAAAAATACTAAGATGCAAACTTGCCCTCAAAGCTTTTACTCAGAAACACTGGGTATTCGAAAAATTTTTTCCTTATGCAAATTTACTCCGATAGTTTAAAATCGTAACAACACTCTCTAATGTTAAAAAACTAATATTAACTATTAAAATAGTGATATTAATGAATAACATTTTTAATTACTCATTCATTCACTGAATTTCTGATATCATAAATTTATTAAAATATATTATCTCCGATCCTATTTATGAGACCTTATTTGTAAATTACAAACAAGATCTTATAATTAGCATAAGAGATAGTGTTACTGGTCAGGCACTCATAATTATAAAGATCCATGGTCAGGCTCTTTAAGAGTCATAAAAATTGTTTGTACATGTTGGCAAACAAAATTAAAAACATTGTGGGCATATATAATTCAAAAAATTGTTAATTAAGCAACTTAATCAAAAAGATAATAACTGATCGAGACCTGGTATAAAATCCAAGTGAACAAGGGATGTCGTGGAGGGAGTTAGTTGGATGGTGATAATAAATGATTGATTTCGTTGTTTTGGTTAATTGAGGGAAATTAATTAATGTGGCGATTACTCCATTGGATGATATTTAAGGATAAGGACTTGAAGAAGTCCTTAATTCCATAAACTCCGTGGTTTCTATTTAAGGGGGTCACCATGATAATGATGCTTATCATCCTTGCCAGTGACTAGCTTGATTTCACCTCTCACCAACTAACTGAATTCAATTATATTTTTTTATCAGCTGATATACACAAATGCACGGATGTATGAATTTTATGGGGGCTTCTTTTTTTTTTTTTTGGGATGCTTAGAAGTCTGCTTGTCGCTTGATATGTTTTTGTTCAGACGTGGACTGTGTATTGTGCGTATAAGAGATAGATTATATGGATAGTTTTAGTTGATTTAAATAACTCCTTTATTTTTTTAAAAAAAACAATGCAATAATATAGTCCCCCACTTCATGATACAAAATATTTCTAACTAATTCACATACACCAATAAAAATAATTAAAAGTATTATATTTATCATAGAAGTTAAGTGTTTCCCACATTACTATTGTTAACCACATCAAATTCTAATATCGTCTTGATTTTTACTCTTCCTTACTATCTTTATTAAATAAGAGCATGTATGAAAAAATATTTAATACTCATTGAAACTCATAAAAAGTCTTGTGAAAATAATCAAAAATATCTTCTAAAAGATTTCTTATAATATAGACAAGAAGGAATACATGACAAAAAATATAAATATTAGTACTTGATTTGTTAGAGTACTATTAATTTTATTTTTCGAACTTAATATTCTCTCGCATCCTAATATATTCCATCTTTTTTATAAATTTCAAATTAAAAAATTAGTTAAAATAATAAATATGTAAGAAAATTATGTGACTTATTTTTTTCAAAACACTTTTATGGCTTTGTCTATGGGAGCGTGGGTGAGAAAGAGAATAAGTGAAAAAATCCGACATATAATTAATTTGGAGGAAAATAGAAAGAATGTATTAAATATTCACAAATTTTCAAAGTATTGCCTGTGAAGAAAACCACACTCATTCATAAAATTAAAGCTTATAAAAAAGAACTAGCTGAGTGCTTAACTAATGTGTATAGATCGTATAGATTGACAAATACCAAAAAAAAAAGTTAATTATAATATGTGTGATTTAAACTTTTTTAAATACTCATATATAATATTAATTAAAGTATATCAATTTATAATAAATTAATTTAAAAAAGAATAATAAGCACGATAAAGAAAATAAATCGAGGGGTTAAATTTAAAATCAAACTCCATCAGGCAACGCTTCCATCAACAATAATTGAACGTACGTCAGGCGCTAATTTGAAGCGCAAAATATCTTATATACAGTGTTACGCCTTTAAAAATTATGCACTGTACCTAATGAATAATTAGTATTTGTCACAGAGCTTTTAATTGTTGGCAAAAATCCAGGTAAAAAAAAAAGTTGGAAAAAACAAAAGCTTGTAATTATATAACTGGCCTCTAGGAAGGACCCTTCCCATCATAATGTTTGTAAGGCTGCACTAATCTTTCATCTATTTTGTTTTAATTATGGAAACCTTCTTCTATTTTTAAAATCTATATAAACCTTTCTTAAAATCAAGAATCGTATAATATAGACCTCTCATTTATTTTTAAAATTTCATTTTCCATTAACCAAACTGTTGATTCACTATTAAATCGAATCTTTTGATAAGAAAAAACGTCTATTTAACATGAATGTCGTTAAGAAATTAGCCAAAATAATATCTCAAACACGTATAACAAAAATAATAATAAATTACAAATTTAACACAATATATTTTGTGTTTATTTAACTGTAAACTTTATTGATTTAATTCGATACTTTTTAAATAGCTATTTAAATATTATCATATTCAATCATTTGAGAATATTTAAATTTAATACATAGAGCAAATAATTAAAATATGAGAGTAAAATTGATAATTTTAAAAAAATATTATTTCACTTATGTGCATATTTTAAAAATATAGAGGAACCTTCTGTAATTTTAAAAAAATTGAAGAAAGATCGTTATGCTTGATGTGTAGGTGTAGGAACTAACTGAAGAATTGATATTTGTCATCTACGTGAGACTCATTTCATATTTTATCGATTTTTTAAAAATTAATTCTATTGATATTTTTATAATAATAATTAAATAGGAAAATAAGGAAGATAATTAAGGGAGATAATTACTGTATTTTAAAAAATATATACTCTTCTGGTCATAAATATAAGACCCTTATATTTAGGACCAGAAAGGTATATCATATTAAATAATATAACTAATATTTTTAATTTACTTATACTAATTAATAAGTTCTTATATGAAGAATTGAGAGAATATTATACTCAAAATATTGGCCATATAAAACTTTTTTAATATTGAACAGACATTTAACGCAAACTGAGCTTAGGAGTTTTTAGGGAATGTAAACTCTTTGAAAGCCGTGCTGGTGTTGTGGAAAAAGCAGATATTATTTGTTGAGTTTACATTGAAGGGGCAAAAAGTAATGGGAAAGTTGCTTTCAAAAGCAACATAGATTAAGGTCAAAAAACAAAAAAAACATAGTTTGGGGTCTTGTGCGTTGCTGTAGTTAAAGATAAAAACTCTCGTTAATTATTTCGTATTTCATTAAAAAGCAGTTCATAAATAAGTGCTGATTCATATTTCCTCATAACTATTTCCTCTAGTTTCATTTATAAGTTTTAAATTTGAAAGGAGTACTCTTTTAACTATCTCATGCATTTTTTTTCAATTTTGTTCCTAATTATTTATTCTTTCTCCTTACCATAATTTCTCTTATCACATTTTTTTCACAAATCCTCTTTTATTATTTTTCTCATTTATTATAAGGACATATTTGAGAAAAAAATATATTTCTAACCTATTTATTATTTTTAACTAATTATTCGCTATTCAAGAATTAATTATTTGAAACTTATAACAAGGACAGGAAGGAGTATCAAATATCAATATATTATAAATAAGAACTTTAATTTATTATTCAAATTTCATGTGAAAAACAAGAAAAATGGGGGTCATTACAAAGTCCCAAGAAAAAATGTAATTACTAAAAAAATC